AGTATGGTATTGAGGGAAATCCATGCAAGACACCATCTTTGGCAACAGCTCTCTTACGGGTACTAAGGTAATTACGGCTATTTTAAGTTAGACTGGACTCTTGTGGCAATAGTAAACTTGCAAAAAACACAAGCACTGTAATAAACACAATTATTTTTTGAAAGTACTAACATGTCATTTATTGATTTTTCCGCCACGTTGACAAAAAAACTTTTTCTCGCAACGATTGTTTTTGGTGGATTTTAATAATTTTGCTACTGAGAGTATTAGTTCCCTCTTTGTCTCCTATTCATCGATTACGAAGAAGTATCTGGCAGCGTAGTGCTGAGGGATAGTACTATGAACTCCTGGAAGATTTTAATAATCTTGACATAGAGAGGATCAGCTTCTTCTTTGTCTCCTATTCGTCGATTACGAAAAAGTATCTGGCAGCGTAGTGTTGAATGGCTGTGCTACGAGCTCTCAGAAGATTTTAAAAATCTTGATATAGAGAGGATCAGCTTCTTCTCTATCTCCTATTCGTCGATTACAAAAAAGTATCTGGTACAGTGGGGCCGAGTGACTATGCTATGGACTCATATCAATGGAAAGAATTTTTTCCGTGTTGGCGACGGCTATTTTTTGTTCCGACTATCTTAGTCAGTTTGGGGACTTGATAATTTAGGGAATATCAGCTTTCCGTCTGTTTCTTACTCGTTAATTACGAAAAAGCATTTTATAGCATAAATCTAAGTGCTGTGTTACAAATTCTTATAGACAAGGGAATTTTTGTCTATTTGGCAAAGACTTTTTGTTCCGGTTCTCTGGACCATTTTGTTAATCTTGACCATTTTGGCGAGTATCAAATCTCTCGCTCTTAGGCTTCTGCTCGTTTTTACGAAAAAACATTCGGTATTATAAAGCTTAATGCTGCGCTACGAACTCTTTTAAATGGGCAGGTTATGAGAACTATTAAGGAAACGAGCAAAAAGGTCCTATATCACTTGCTGTAGGCGAAACCATTTTCAACTGTGGCATACAATGCTTTTCATGACCTGTCACAAAAAAGTGATCTGGAAACCAAACTGGAAGGATATTTTGAATTTCAGTGGCAAGAAGCGTGCCAAGTTCATTTTTGGGCATTACACAGTTTTAACAGGAGTTCCTGCAGAGGGAGAGATTGACAGGAACGGAGTCGAATAATGCTCGCATGAAAACTTTAATACGAGCGATTTTGGGAGCGACCTTAAATCTAATTTTTAAACAGAAAGTAAGAATCCCCAACACATTAGGTCTTTTTTAGAATATTTCGAGGAAATACTAACTGTTGCAAGGCTTCTATAGCATTTTTATCGAAGGCTCCTTACAGCCAATGGGCTGATTTGACGCTTCGGCACATGTCAGTACCAATTTACATTCAATGAACGAATCGCAGAGGGACTGATTGTTTCACATTAATTATTAACACACTGTCTTTTTTTAAGGGAAAAAACACATTTTTTAGAAGGGGGAAGTAACTGTCCCTCGCGAGCTTGCATCGTGATCTAAGTGCTGCTGAGGATTGTACGCTTGAGTTAGCTGTAATTCATAATTTCGTCTGTGCGCCCGCTGCCGAAGCTGCAGAGGATTGCACAACTAATGATTATCCTGGATGGAAAAATGAGGATTCCAGCTGCGCAACTTCGACCATAATTGCGGCCCTTATTCATTTTTCTCGACAAAATCCGACTCTTCTACCTCAATTCCTCCTTCTTTTCCTCCTTTTTACTGTCATTTTACAGTAACTTGAGGGAGATGAGTGACAGCTGCTACTTCTATTTTCTCCCTGCCCTTTATGCGAAGGCAGAAGCACTAATCCTTTACCTCACTTTTCGCAGTACTTGCTCCCTGAGGACAACGAGTAGTACGACATATAATTCTAAGTAGTGGAACACCAATTACTACCCATGATTTTTCTTCAGTTATTCATCTATTCATCTAGCGATTTCTTCAGTTGTTTTGATCAATTCTGCTCAATTATGCAGTGGTCATTCTGATAGTGATCCTAACCTTCATTTCATTCTTTTTGAGGGATAAATAGCTTAACGGTTCTGTTGATAGTAACACTTGACAAGGCTTTGGTTTTTTCAAGATATCTCTCATTTGTGCTGGGAATCAACAATTTGTCATGAACATTGTAACTTCTAGACCATGATAATGGCCCCATTATCGTGGTCTAGAAGTTACAATGACCTCATTATCGTGTCTAGAAGTTACAACGTTTCAAATTACCGATTGGGATCTTACTTCACATTATAAGAATTTTATGTCTCAAGTTCATTTGCATATTTTGCAAATGCAAAAAAGCATATTGGCAGGAACTTATGCGCCTGTATTTGTAACATATGTTCGCACTTTATCACCCACTTTCAACTCGAGGATCAGGAAAGCTAGAAGGCTGGAACTTCTAGAAAATGTGCACACTTCGTGTGCGATGCTGACGTTTTACTTCTGATTTGGGCTTCTCTCATCCACCATGCAGTTCCATATAGGCGTTCGGTGCAACTCGTTATTTATTGTTATTTATTTAATTTGCATATATGGAAAGTGCATCACAGTATCGGATCTTCTGAAGTAATTAAAAGGAGATTAATGCTGTTTTTTCAAGCAGTCATTTCTTTCAGCTATTCGCAAACGCTTAAGTCGCTCATCCAGAGTTCACAGGACGCCATTTTTCTGTCCAAATCTTTGCTTGTAAGTTTTTGGCTTATTACATCCAGTGGTCCGCGCTTTTTTTAGGAGCTAAGAGCCCTTGATGTGCCCTGTTTTTGGATCCCCCGGTCCAACAGGATAGAAATATAATAGTAATGTGCGAAATTTCTAGTAAAAAGAGGCATCAACTATTTGGTACTTGTTATCGAAAATAACCTCCTCCCCTGCCTCCTCCCTCTTTCGGCAGTAACAGTGTCGTCTTTCCTGCTTTCTCAACTTTTTCTTAAATTCAGTATTTCTAGCTTGCAATTTTTATGCTAGGTTCATTCATGAAGTATTAGCTCTCCGAAGCAACCCACAGTCGTTGATGCATCCTTAGACCGCCCAAGGACCTTAGATCGTCCAGCACAGGTATCCGTTGTTCACCAAAGATTCTTAGCATCCCTTCGCCCTTTGGTTGTCGATTTGCCGTTGTAAGCCGGGCCAACGAGAAGGCGTAGGAGGCTGAGGCTCGTTGCTGATGTGCATCATTCATGTTGTTCCTCATGCTGCATTCCTCCTTAGCGTACTAATTGCATTTTTGTTTTTTTTTTTGTTTTTGTGCATGGCTGTTTGACGTTTATTGCACTATCACCCACTGGTCAGTCAGTTGCCCCGTGAATGATATTGCATCATGGATTATGGACAGAAGAATTGATCCATTGGTAGGTTGTTTACGACACATACAGTGCGAAGTGACCGCCTCCCTCCTCCTTCTGCTTGACCCTCGAATGTCCAGGCGGAATGACCTTCCATGTTAGGACCTGCAAACAACCCTCCCCAATTATTGTTGTTTTCGTATTTTTTGGTATCCGGTCGCATCTTCTCGGAGAGGGTGGACTCTCTACTCGACTTTACGCTTAAGACGTGCAGCAACCTGTATTTTGAGTTATAGTTCAGCATCTTTTTGCGTCCTGCGTAACCGCCACTGAATTAGAATAGGTTGAGTCCAATGACCGCCTTGTGCGATTTTCCACCTTTGAGGAAGAAAAGTGAATAGATTGAGTTCATTGACCACTCTGGGTCATTTGGCATTCTCGGTTCTACGTCATTATGCAACAGACAGTAGTACATTCAGGCTAAAGAAGGAATAGATTGAGTCCAGTGACTGTACTGCGTTGTTGTACATTCGACAGACGATAGCCGGTACGTAGAGGTTAACCTAGTAGTGCTATATATGTAAAATACATGAGCGAAAGACACTCTCATATAAAATACATTGCGGCCAATGTAAAATAATTTGATTTTCGCATGATTATACAATATGTTCTTTGTAGAGCCACCAAATTACCC